TAGATCCATTTGGGGCAGCAATTAAAGAACATATTACTAATTTCTGAGTCTCAGCTCCTGCCTTCCTAATGCTGGTTATTTTTGCCCATAAAAGCATTAATCCTATCTTCCTGTAAAAAATGACATTTCAAACATTCATCATCTTCCACTACTGTCCTTCTGCTCCTCTGCCTCCCCATCATTAACCAGAGGCATCTGTTATATGGTTTATGCAGTGTCATTTGTGACCACAGATCTGCAATAAAACGAGAGCTATTTTCTCTGTAAGTAGCTGCTCAGAGCTGCAAATATTTTGTATTCATTATATATAATAAAAAAAAAAATCACATTCCAGAAGTGTGTTTATTATGCAAGTGCCTTGTCATTACCTGAGAGAGTTATACAACCTTCCATTATAGTAAGAACTAATATCCTCCCCACAGAAGCACATGAAACACACACATGGTTTCTATTTTGGAAACTACATGTTGAGAATTATATTGTCACACTTCATAACTTCTTCCTAAATTGCTGTTTGTTTGTTTGCTTTTTTTGTTTAATCTCTAAATCCTATCCACAGGGATGGTCCAAACTCCCCTGTGTACAATTCCTCCATGGGCAGATGGAAATCAAAAACAAATGCTGTGGAACCAGGAATCTTCTCACAAGCTACAGCCCTGTAATAATGTGGCATTGCCATGGAGAGGTGGATGCAAAGAACACCCCAATGGGTCAGCTAAAGACAGGCAGATCTGGACTAAAATGGATTTAGGTTGAAACAGAGAATAAAAAATAGCACCTAGAATACACACAAGCCACCACAGAGAGGAAATTCAGATGTAATATGGAACTTCAGGTTGATGAAGACAAAGGTGCAAAGCCAAGTTAGCAAACATAAAAAAATTACATCAAGGGGACCCTAAATGGAGAAAGAATAAAACACCAGCTCCATACATCTTAAATGCACAAAGCAAACAGCTGCATGCCCCAGTGGGGTAAAATTAAAGGCTTGGTAAATTGCCCTAAATCTCCTGCTGCTACCTGCTGTGGAGAGCAGGAGTTACTCACCTTGGGATGTGGAGGATAGGCAAGCACTAAGGCACCAGAAATAGCTTGGAAGTCTGAGGCCATTTTCCTCTTGGCTCATTCTTGTTAAATTAAGAATTCTCACAGAACTGAGATAATAAACACTCTTGAGAACTGGGAGAAGAAGCCACCACCAACAGAAGCAGAGGGGTTTGATCTCCTTGGAGTTGCACAGCAAAGTCCACCTGCTCTAAGATGCATGAGGACCATAAACTATACTAAACTAAAGGACCATAAACTGTTCACCAGCTTTGAACCCACCTCAACCAACTGCAGCTCTCCTGGTAATGCATCACTAAAGAGGGAGCAGGGGAAGATCAGGTATTTTTATTTATTCCCTGAAAATTCCAGTCATCCACCTGGTCTTTGTGCTCCTCTGACACACTCTCCAGGTGTTCAGTGTTTGCCTACCACACACCACCTACACACAAATCAAGAAACAAGTACAGAGACACCAAAGGCACCTCACAGAGACTGCAGACAGGTCCAAAAGTGCTGCTCTGTCCTTCACTGGCAACCTGTGGAAGCAAAGCACTTGAACAGGACACCAAACCAGATCCCAAATCACATTCAGACCTTGCTTCCCCCGAGCTGCAGGGCACCAGGATGGCTTTTGGAGGGTCAAATTCTATTTTATAAATGCACAGATTTTCTCATTTTCTGCTTTACTCTTTGTCTGTACATTGCTGGTTAGAGCCAGTTGATGGGCTGTAAAACTGTCAGCCTCGTTACTGGCACTAATAAATGGCTTTTGCTCAGCTGGAGTTAATGTGGGACCATCTGACTGCCCAGAACTGACATTTTTAATGATTCTGTTCCTCCAGTGCCTTCTCATTGACCACTACAAAAATCCAAACTGTCTCTTGCTCTGCCAAGCTGTTTAGTGGATCAAGTTCCTTGTTCTCCAGGGATCTGCAGTTGTGTCAGCCATCAGAGCAAGCAGACTCAATAATAACTGGCCTGAGAACAGCTATTCCAACACTTCTGGGCTCTTCTGCACCACAGATTTTAGCATTAAATGTCAAATTTCTGAAGGCTAGAGGACAGAAGCATCCCCAGGAGGAAGACACGTGTGCAAAGTGTTTTAAAAATGGAAAATTCCAACTGCAAAAGTTTGGTGCTTGGATGTTGTCCCCTCACCCTGTTCTCTGTTGGGTGCTGTCACCTTCCTTCAGGTCTCCCTTTCCAATGCTGTATCCTAAGTGAAATAGAACAACTTCCCCTTCCAAACCCTGCTTAATTTACACAATAAGGGAAATTCTTCACATCTCAGTGCTTTTAGGGAAGGAAGAGACACACAGAGCTCTTCTGGGGATGTCCAGCAGTTACAAAGCAGTCCCCAAATTAAAAGAACTGGATCTTCAAAGATGAAAATCACCTGGAGAAAAAGGCTTTCAAAGAAAAAATAGCCCAACCAGCAGATCTAAGGCTTTGCAAGTCTTTTACAGAAAGTCTGGTCTCTCCAGGTGCTCCAGCACAGCAATGGGAGCAGCTCCTCCAGCTTCCTGCCAGGTTTGGGGGGATTTCTGCTGTTCTTAACAACCCACTTCGTGCTGACACAAGCTGTGTGCTTTTTCCCACCTTTCCTGTTCTCCCAAACCCACTCCATCAAGAAGGACACAGCCAGGACCAGTATGGACACAGAGATAGCCTGATGTGTGCCCATGAGTCCAGAGCTGGCAGCAGGGCAGAAATTCTCACCTGGCACAAGCTGGAGAGGGGAAGGGCTACACTCCTGCAGAAACATCTTCCATTCCTCACTCACTCCCAGGAAATCAGCTCTCACCCCTGGGTTCAGCTCCTTCCTTGGCCTTAGGTTATCAGTGAGCTCATGCAAGCCCTTGGTTTCCACAGAATCATGCAATGGCTTGGGTTGGAGGGGATCTTAAAGATCATTTAGCTCAAATCTCCTCATCTAGTTTTCCATTCTCTTTGTGCCTCTAAAACATAAATAATTTCCCTTTCTCTTAGGAGTACTGTTGAGCAGCAGCACACTGCAGATGGGGAGGAGCAGTGTCACAGAGCCACTGAGGTCACCCAGACAGGGAAGGAATAAATGGCTCTTTCCATAAGTGTCTGCCTGCTGGAGTCAGAGGGGTGACTCACAAGCAGAGAGGCTGATCCCACTGTGTCCCCTCTTTTTTTGCCAGCACAGCACTGCACAAAAGTCCCACCTAACTCCTAAAAATGATCTCAGCTCAGCCACGGCCTCATCCTCTCTCTCATGGGTGTTGGCACTGGCTGCAGCAGCCTAAAAACAAAAGGCAATCCCAACTGTTGGATCTGGTGACTTCCAGAGAACACCAAAATCCCTGTCTGCCCAGTGCTCCAGGTGCTCAGAGCCATCACTCTGATGCTGACCCAGCTTCACTGGGGCTCCTCCAATGTGCATGGAAGTCAATAGAACATAAGCTGGGGAGAAGAATCCTGCCTTTTACCATCCAGTCTGTTTATTCCTTGTCTGAAACTTGTGCAAAGATGCCCTTTCAGGGGTCAGCCCCTGGCCACTGCTTTCTCACCTGCCTGCTGTACCCGACATGCAACTCCTGCCCTGAGCCTCTTCCTCCAGCAGCTGGAAATGCAGCAGTGACTCCAGTCCAGACCTGCACAAACCATGAGCTGTGTCTGACACAGAGCCTCCTCTGTAACCCCAAAGTTCGTGGCAAACATTGTCACACACAACAGCACCACACACCTCTTTCACCCAGCTTGCCAAAGACAACCAGAAACCCTTAAGGACTCAAATTATTCCCCTCACACAACTCCAGGGGGGACAGCAGGACATGTGAACAGCCCTGACACAGCAGAGTGCTTTCCAAGCAGGATTTAGTGTGACAGGGAGGGATCAGTCCTGCTGCAAACTCAATCTCCCCTTCAAAGGCCAACCCTCCCACAGAGGTCTGGAAATGAAGCCTCCCACACAGTTCTTGAAAGACAATCTTTGATTCAATTAAGGAAGCCAACATCACTAAAGCAGGCTGGAAACTGCATCACAGAGGAGAACCTCCAGGTTAAATCAGAATTATGCTTTCAGGGGAAGTGATAGAAATCACACAGGTATATGTGATGGACAACATATAAAAGACTTGGGGTTTTTTTATTTGATGGGCTTCTCAGAACAGCTCACTCTAATAGTCCCACATAAAGACCTTCTGTCTAGATGTGGTTCAGCTCCCACAAATTCACCTGGAATGCTCCCACTGCGTTTGACAGGGCCTGGCTTGGGAATTGAGTGTGCTGGGAAATTATCCCAGAGCCTTTGCCAAGCTGGACAAGTTCCTTTCTCAGATCTCCCTTGTCCCACACAAGCTCTGACCTGGACTTCACACACACAAACACTCCTAGGTGGAGGAAGTCAGTACAGACATTGAACACACAGCCTGTATTTACAGCAGGAATAAATTTTGTAAACTTTATAGAGGCTGCCAGTATGAAACTTTGTCTTCATACTGGCAGAACAGCTTCCCAAGGCTGGACCATGCACCTCTTAAAATGTCAGAAAAGTGGAACTCAGACAAATGCTGCTGAAGTAGCAAACAGGCTGAAGAGCAAATACCCAACTCCTCTGTCCCCACAGGACAAATATCCCTGCACCAACCCATCTTGGGCAAAGGGAACTGAGATTTGCCCAGGAATCTCACCTGAGAAGTTGGGAATTTTTTTTGTCCAGCCTTGGAGCAAGACAACACTAAGCTCTGGGAATGAATGATCAGGATTGGAATATCCATATTTTCCCCAAAATGACAAATCAAGTCACGCTGTCTGGGACACACCCCAGTTTCACCAGTTGTCCCTGGTGAGCTGGGATTCCTCAAGAATGAACCTGCTCTGTGTTTAGCTTGAGAGCCAGCCCATGGCTGGCAGGAGGGACTGCCCCGTGCAGAGTGAAGAACAGGAGGGGTGAAGGGTGAAGGAAGAAGGGACTTTTCTCTTACCCAGACCCTGGTTCTGCTGCTCCCACTCAATGGTGTCAGGAACCTGGTAGGACAACCCAGCCAGCTGGGCCACAGGGTTCTCCAGGCCAGCCAGGGGCTCCTGGGAGGTCTCTCCTGGAAGTGTGAAGCCTGGCAGATCCGTGTCACCCTCCATGCTTTCATCCATCAGGTCTATGTCTTTGTCCTCCTCATCTTCCTCTTCCTCCTCTTCTTCTTCCTCTTCCTCCTCTTCATCCTCTTCTTCTTCCTCACCCTCTGGCCAGGGAGACAGAAAAGAAATGTCAGGGAACATCTCAGCAGGCAGAAGTTTCACAGATCTCTAGGTGAACACCAGGCTGAGCTCCTCCAGAGGCAGAGCAGCTGCAGGAATTGTGCCTGTTCTCTGGCAGGAAAAACACCCACAGGGGCTCATCTGGAGGAGCTCATCACCACTGGAACTTGCTGGGGAACAAGGAGATGTCAAACTCTCAAATTAGTGGGAAATGCAGTAATTTTTTGCCTCCTAGCAGCAGGGTGCAAACAGAGATGTGCATGTGTACCAACACCTGTGCACCTGCATCTACAGAGCTCCCTGCTCAACCCAACCCAGCCCAAGGGAGAGCTTTTCCCCTGATCTCCAGTCTTGGAGCAGCAATGAGCTGGTTCAATGTTTAACCCTGACTGAATCTTTCCCAGCTCTGGAAAGGGCTCTGTTTTCAAGACCAGGTTGCTCCAGGCCCCATCCCACCTGGCCTTGGAAAGTGCTGGAAAGAAGGCAGCATAGCCAACAGTCCACAGGAGAGCTGGAAAATGTGGCTCTGAGGAAATTCCTGTGAATTCAGTGCAAGGCCTCCCTGCCCATGGAAGGGATTGAAACAAGATGAGCTTTAAGGTCCCCTTTCAACCAAAGCCATTCTGTGATTCCATGAATTCTCTGCTACAGCAGATACTCATTTATTCCAAAACTGTCCGCACTGTTAACATATGGAAAAATAAATATTTAAGCCATAGTTCATCACTGGAATCTAAAATGGCAACACAGAAACCACTGCACTGGATCAAACCAAAGGGTTTTTCCCTATTTTTTCCTATTTCCAGCCACAGCTGGCTGCAGATGCTGAAGGAAGTCCAGAACAGGGCAAATAGAGAGCCACAGTTTCTTTTCCCAAGTTACATTACCAAAGTCTCAGGGACACCCTATCCAGAATTTACATTGGAGCTATTAAATAGCTACTGATGGAGCCACCCACCAGGGGAAGATAATATCTGGAACAATGGCATGCTTTGAATTTCTCACGGTTCTTTTTTCAAGGCTGAGAATTGAAACACAGTATTTATGCACTTTTATCTAATTTACACCAGCTCTGCCCAGCCCCGTAGAAAAATTCTCTCCTGGTGCAGTCAGCCTGGGAGAGCCCATCACCTGCATCCAGGCATTAAAAACTAACACTCCAGCCAAACCACCCTTTGTTACCCAAATCCTTTATTTATTTGTTACCTAAATATCACTTTATTTCTGCTGTAGTTGTACCTCATACAGGTCTGGTGGCAATCCAGCCTGGTTTAAATGGCCTGCAAAGATTGGGATATCACATGAGAGGTGGGAATATGAGAAATCAAGGCATGTTATAAACCCACTGATCCCCTGTGCTGTGCCATGGCATCTCCCTCCCCTGTAATTCAAGGATTTGCTCCCAACCACTGCATGTTTTCCTCAGCTCACCAGACAAGACAATCCCAGTGCTGCCTTTCAGTCCTGCTCCCTGTATTCCATACAAATGAGCTGCTGCTGGGATTTAGCTGCATCACCCTGCTAGAGCCTGGCTTTTGGTACCTGGAAAGATCATTCCTACCACAGAGAGCATCTAATGGAGCTCCCAGGGATGTAGCTGGCCCCTGGAATCCCCAGTGCATTTTACAGGCAGTTTCTGTATTATAATGTGCCCAGCATTTACAATCAAGACAAGAATTTCCTCTGTCAAAATGCAAGTTTTCATGCAAAACACACAGCTGTGAAGCTGAGAGTGGCACCTGGAGAGTGCTCACTGCAAAGACAAGTGAATGTAGGTCTTGTCCCTCTGCTGAGAGCAACACAGCTATCAACAATCCCAAAACTTGCCAGCAGACACTCTGAACAGCCAGAACCAGAGGAGAGGAACATGAACAGAGCTCTTCCCTACACTGGGTGGGAAAACCAGCCAAGAGAGAACAGGCATTGGATTTTTATCTCTGCAAAACTACTCTGGGACAAGGGTTTTAGAAGCTTCTTGTGATTTCTAGCAATCCAAGTGACACACACCTGCCAGGATGGAGGGCTGAAGCACAGATAGCCATCTCCCTGTCTCCAAAACCTCACAGGCAGCCAAGCTGAACACCCAAATTGAAAGTGCTGAGACTACTTATCACATCTGATGATCACCCAGCTTCATCAATCACCAGGCAGGCACAGCAGAGAGCTGTGAATAATGAACCCTTGCAGCACAGCCCCTGCAAGGGGGAAGGAAAAAGCTCTCAGCTTGTTCCCTTCTCCTCTCTGGCTCATTCCTGCACCTGAAATCAGCTTTTTAAGCCCCATCCCGAAATGCCAACAGCGTGCCTAGCTGCAAGGTGCAGTGCAGAGCACCACTTGGTGGTCACAGGGAGGAAGCTGCACTTCCAAAAAAAACCCCACAAACTTCCCAAGTGTGGGATTTCAGCAGAGGGGGCTCAGCAGGCAGCGTGGGCACTCCCATAAACTGGGAAATGGAAGTGAGCAGCACACAGCTGAAGCTCAAGCTGGAGGTTTGTGCTTCACACAAGAGCCTTCTACTAAAGTCACATTTTTTCCTCCTAAACTGGCACCTTTTGGCCTTCAAAAGGCCTCAGCAGCAGCTTGAAAGAAAACTGTTGGGAAAGAGTGAATGCAGCAAGGAGTGAAAGTGCAAAGCCCAGCACATTCAGAAGTAATCCAGAGTTTCATGTGCAGCTCAGTGTGAACTATTTCTGTGTGACATGGAATGGTTTAGGTTTGAAAAGCCCTCTGAGAGTACTGAGTCCAACTGTTAATCCTGTACTAAGCCCCAAGTACCACATCCTCACGTCTTTTAAACCTCTCCAGGGATGGGGACGGGGCAGCCCGGCACAATACCTGAGCATCCTTTTATTAAAGAAATTTTCCCAAATATCCAATCTAAACCTCCTCCCCTGGTGCAGCTTGAGGCTGCTTCTCATTGTCCTATCATTTGTTACCTGGGGAAGCTGCAGGGGAGCCCCAAGGAAAGAAGTCTGAGATAAAATAACACATTTTAAGCAGAGCTTTTGGGGGTTTCCAGCTTTATTAATAGAAACAGGCATCAGCAGCCTTTATCATGAGACTCTGAATAGATCCATTAGTGACAGAGGTGAGATCCAGAGGATGGGATTTGCTATTTCAGGGGGGCAAAAGCACCTTGTGCTTGCTCCAGAAGTGAGGCTTTTCACCACCCAACTACACATCCACGATGATTCCTGGGGCTGAGGCAGGAGAACTGAGACCACCTCACACCTCCCTTGTGAGGCACGTCCCTGGCCCAGCAGGAACCCACAACCTGTGCAATCTGAAGCCAACCAGCAGCATCCAGCAGGTAAAAACCTCAGAATCAATTTTTGGGGATGTGATGGCTTGGAAGAAGCTGGAGTTGAAGCCACTGTGCTCATAACCTTGCTGAAGGCAATGGAGCTACAGCAGGTTTTCAGCTGAAGAAACCTTCAGTGAAGAATGATGTTTCTATATTTAGCTATTTTCCATTAATGTTTGCAAACACTTGGATTGCTCAGGAGAGCCAGGAAAGCATCATTCTGTCAGGCTGAACACACAGCAGAAAGATCTTGCTGTGCCCTGAGCAGTGAGAGGCTCTCAGTGGAAGAGGACAGATTCACTCAGAGGCACAAAGTGAATTCAAAGTGCAACAAAAAATAAAACCCAAGAAACTCCCAAAAAATAAAAAAAAAAAAACTACCAAACCCCCCCAAAAAACCACCAAAAACACCCCATAAAACAAACCAAAAAACCTATTAAAAAACCCAAATAAATTTAAAACAGAAAAAATCCAAACAACCCCCCCCCCCCGCAAAAATACAAACAAACAAAAAAACTCCAAACTAAAAAGGAAAGCAGTTGCAGGGCAAAACCTGGAGCTGTCATTTGCTCTCTCCTTTCCCTGCCCATCCTCCCTCACACCAAACTCAGGGGATGGAGATGTCTAAATGGTACCACAGAGGATTGCTGTGACCCTTGCCAGTTTAAGCTGTGGTTTTATGTGGTGCTCAGTGCTGCAGGCTGACCCCATGTGCTAATACCACTGTGTAAATATGTAAATAATGCTGTGTAAACAACAACAGGATTAGGGATGGGGGGTGTGTGTGGCTCCCATCTCTTGCAGAGCAGGAGGGAGAGGCACTAAGGAGCCTCTGCCAAGTGTTTTCTCCCACTGAGGTTCACTTTCTGCACTGCTTTTGTGATCCCAGCTGATTGTCAAGGCAGGGAGGCCTTTCTAGGACAAATCCTTTATTATTAATGCGTTGCCTTCATGTGATCAGTCAATGTCACCATCCAACAGCCCCAAAATATTGCAAGAGCCTTTGCCAGCCTGGAAGGAGAGCTGCAGGGAAGGTGGACAGGCTCTCACCAAGCAGTGCTCCTGTGCTGGGCCATGGTAGGGCAACAACAAAGGCATAGAAACTCTGCCAAAAATCAAAGTAAAACCCCCTGGGATGAGCTCTGCAAGCCCAGTCACCTGCACTGCAAAGCCATCCAAGGGATTTGCAGGATGTGGTGTTGTCTGTGCTCTGGAAAAATCAATCTTTTGGCAAGTTTCAGCATCTGAGAAATTGCACAGAGACAGGATGCTTGGAGGAAACTTGGTGGGTCAGATCCTACACACAAAGCAGGATGACCTAACCCCAGCCACAGAAGAGATTTACACATCACAGAATCATTAAAGCTGGAAAAGCTCTCAAATCAGAGTCCAACCATTCCCCCAGCACTGCCAAGGCCACCCCTAACCCCTGTCCCCAAGTGCCACCTCCACACATCTCTTAAATCCCTCCAGGGCTGATGACTCCACCACCACCCATTCAGATGATAAATTTTGCTCTATTATCCAATCTAAATCTCCCCTGGTGGAACTTAAGGTTGTTTTCTCTTATCCAAATTCAAGGATTTCCTCCTAAAACAAAAACAAGATGTACCTCCAGCAGCATTCACCTCAAAATTGCTCTCACACTGAGCCAGGCTAGAGACTCAGTTTAGGAACACA